TAAGGTACATAGGAAAGAAGGACCTAAGGTACATAGGAAAGAAGGACCTAAGGTACATAGGAAAGAAGGACCTAAGGTACATAGGAAAGAAGGTTCCAAAATAAGCTCTACCCACATGATGGCTTGATTCCAGGGAGCCTACCCACAACTATGGACGAGGGCCCAAGGTTTGTTCACCTCTGGTTATTACGTGCTTCCCTCTTAAAACAATCTAGGAAGATTTATTTTTTATTTCTTTTATCCATTTTATTTTAGTCCCCTACATTTACCTCCAGGTTGTTTTTCCTCACCACCAGCTTCATCAACAGTAGTCTCTGGTTTAGTTTTTGCAACTTCACTTGCCTCTGCCAACACAGGACTTTCCTCCTCCTTGTTCTGCATTTCTGGTTGATCAACAGGGGGTTGTACCTCTGGAGTGGTTCTAGTTTCATTTCCTTCCTCTTTGGTAGCCTCTTTATCAATCAGTTGTGCCAATGGCTGAGTTTCGGGATTTTTAGTTTCTTTGCTGTCAGAAGGTATCTCAGTCCTCCCAACATCTCCTTCTGGAGATTCTTTATCATCTATCCCTGAAGTTTTACTCTCAGTGCTCGCAACTTCTGTCATCCCCTGTGACGGCACTCCACTGTCACCTTCAGCAGTCTCTTTATCGATTACTTGTGCTGAAGGTGGACTCTCACTTGTTGAAACCCCTTCTGCTTTCTCTGAAGATACTTCAGTCTTACTATCATCTTTTTCAGGAGACTCTTTATCAACAACTTGTGTTGATGCCTCAGTTGGTGCAACCCCTTCTACTTCTTCTGATGGGACTACAGTCTCAACATCATCTTTCTTGTCAAGTTGTTTGCCAGTATCGACCTTTCCATCATGGTCCTTTTCTACAAGATCTACATTGGTACAGGTTTCTACTGTATTCTCCATTTGCGGTACATTACTATCATTCAGCGTAACACCTGCTGCAGTCAGCGATATATCCTGATTATCAATATTTATTGACTGAGATTTTTCTTTTTCCTGATCAATTGCTCCTTTATTTGTTTCATCGGATGCTACTGTTATGTTCATACTTGGGTTGCCTAATTGATTGACAGATTCAACATTATCGACAGAATTTTGTACAGATTCTTGTGGTTCATTTCCTTCTGCCTTTGCAACAGGTGATGTAACTGCCTGATCACCTTTATCATCGCTATTTTCTTCTTCCTTATTTATATTTTTGTCTTCTGTAGAACTTTGCGGCAATTTGACACCACTTGGAAGATCTACTTCTTGTATTTCATTGGTTGCAGCTTCCTCCATTGTTTATGAGATAATAAGGATGTAACAAAGATCAGTATCCTCTCATTCTAGTATTCTTTCTTCAATAGTTGAATGTTGCTGTAATGGATCCTTTAAGTCCACACTTTAAGAGCAAAATTAACAAAAGAAAGAATGTTAGTGCACAAAGACAAAATATGGATAGCATTAACAATAAAAATCAAGGATTTTTCTCTTTCAAAATCTCATTTAGTAAAAAGGAACAAATGTAGAAATAATCAATTAACAACAAGAATGAATTTGTTATTGAAACAAATGCAAAGAAAAGGTGTTTATAATAAAGTCATATCATGTCATTAATTCTTGAAATATCTGTGTATCTGTAAATAAATGATTTAGTTATGGTTTATGCATCCAATACCATCATAAAATATATCTAGTCAATAAATAAAAATATATTAAAAACATAGCCCAGAGGCAGTTCCTACAGAGGTTTGATAACCGCTGATAACAGCCCAGAGTTTGTTTCAGAGTTAGATCTGTATATTTTTTAGCCGTGCCTGTGACTTAGGACAGCCCAGAGGTTGTTTCAAGGTTTAATCTGCGAGTTTTCCATTCCTAGCTCAGTTAGATCAGTACAGAGGTTATTTCAGAGTTCAATAAAATTAATGCTATCTGGTTCACAACTAAACCAAAATTAATGAATATGCATTGAAATAGTGATTTTCATGAGTGGGTCACAACAATGATACCAATTCAAAATTCACAGCATCTAGATAGCAAGTCATCTATGTCTTATCATAGCCATATCTACATGTGATGTCATGATTGGACCATTCCCTAAAAGACAATAGAAACCCCAAAATGTCTCCAACTCATGCGAATATCTTTCACAATAACATTCATGTGCATACATATAAACATTAATAACATCAGATACAAAAATATAAAAATTAAGAAAAGCTAATTATAAATTATCAAATTTGAAAGCGAATATAATATTATTTTTAAGTAAATATTTTCAAATTCTTAGAGTAATAAAATGTTTGACATTAAAAGGCCTTACTATATATATATATACCTTTATCAATGTTCGAAATTTAATATTTAAAAAAAACTATATTATGAAATTAAATTATGTATGCAGGTAATATTTATGATAAAGTTGATACTTTGTTAGAGAGGAAACAATATTTCTCGTAGCTAGGAATCATAAACCAGAGATAGATTTTAAGAAAGCAGGAAGTGTACAATTTTGTAAAATATCGAAATAATTGTTTCAAAAGCGTGTCTAAACAAGTTTAAGTTTAGAGATGAATTTTCGGGATGGATGACATTCTTATAAAGTAGTGACTACTCTAAGTTATAATAAACCAGTCTACACCGATTTTCAGTACAAAGAAATCTGTATTTACAAAAAGATTTGCAGTCAGACGACAAATGCTTTGTGAACAAAGTCAACGAGCAGTGTTTGTATTTCTTTAGGAATATAAACAACATTACATGAATTTTTGAAGTTTGCAGCTCTAATTATTCAAGGATACTTCTTAATGAACTAGACTCTTAATACGACAAGTTGGAACGGAATTACCAAGATCTTGGTTCATATATTAATAGGATTTTAAAGTACTTTAGCAGATGGAAAAGAAGAGAAGTAGCTTAAAAAATTTCATATTATTAACAAACCTTCCTGGACGTATATATTACAGCGTGAAATCATGACCGGAAATGCTCAAAACTTCACTATACGAAGTAATAATTCCGAACAAAAGAAAACTCTAATCCTACTATGGAATTGAAGGATAATGTAGGTTTATTGTCTTATTGGCATATAGCTGTAGCTTGACGTTTTCGGCGCTGAACGTTCGTGACACGAAGCGCTGAAATACTCGATGAAGGGAGGTGCGAAGTGGATTTAATATACCTCAAGAAACTGCTTAATAATTTAATTAAAAAACCGTTATAACGAATGAAGGAACGATAGAAACGTTGTTTAATAGCTAAATATTCTTACCTGTAGGAGATATGGTTATAAATGAAGCAAAAAAGGGATAAAAAGTTGATTGAAAGACAAGCTATATTGAGTTGTTGTGAAACTGTCTTCTGATCATGTAGGGCAGATAACAGGAGTCTGAGTACTAACACGATTTGAAACACGATCTATTTCCGGTTTGAACCTGGGAAATATTCTTCATCAGAAACAACAACTCCAATATTCTTTCACTTCAAGTTTTTAAATTAGAATATTCAGCTATCTTTTTATGTTTTACTAGAGTATTTTTATGGAGGCGCGGGAGTGTGAAAGATAGTTTCAGAGGGTATGGGAGAGGAATTTTAGTGCGCCCCCCCCCCCCCCCCCCCCCCCCCCCCCCCCCCCAATGTTTCCTGTGCCCTACCCTCTTGGGAAAAACGGGGCGGTAAGGGTACGGTGTTGATAGGACCATCCCAGGGGAAGTGCACAAACGCTATCATTAAATATAATATCATTTTGGTAATAATAACAATAATATTTTTACAACTACATCATCGGGAAATCAGTGGTAAAGTCTCGCAGCGACAGAATTTCACCGCTTTGTTACGACCATGACTCTATTTTTTCTACTGTTACTTGAGTAAGAAACAGTGGCGAATACATAGTACATAGTATAGTACATTGAACAGTTTTGGTCATCCATTAGTTTTGTCAAGATTAAGCGCGTCTTTAAATTACCATAAAGAGGGGATTTTGTGAGAAAATGTCTTTCATCTTTCTTTTATAACAAAACCTTATGGATAAATTTTTGACTATAGATGTGTGGTAACTGGGATTGCACTGAAACTGAGGCTAAGCCGGCCCACGGACCATTAGATAATTAAGGGGGGAGGGGAGGGGGTGCGTAGATACCCCCAAAAAATATCGAGCAAACACATCACCTACCAAAAAGATATCGCGCAACCTCTCCTTTCGGTAAAGAAATATCGAGCAAACACGTGCAGGGGTTATATTACAACAAAATAAATATCGTGCAACATAAATTCCTGCAACACATAATAGTAATAATAATAATAATAATAATAATAATAATAATAACAACAACAACAACAACAACAATAATAATAATAATAATAATAATGTCAGAAATTACATACGATGTTATCAGCAGCCTCCTTTGCATGCGTCCTTAGGGGCCGTGCAAGATATTAGCTTTGTAAGCTACTCTGAAATTCGAGGTTAAATAAAGTTTATGTATGTACGTATGTATCTGCAGCGTCTTGGTAATCTTCGTATTAAAACGTGATAGTCGCATAGCGTGCACGTAATCTACACCGCCAAACGTTTACATAACAAACTTCGGCCGCATGGTACTTATCATGACTATTCGACCGTGACAATACTACAGCACTAGAGCATTTTATAGCAGTCAACATGAAGATTGTCGAAAAATCAGGGAGTTTTTTCCGGCTATTTTTTATTGCGTGTTTGATTTGTGGTGGGTGGGCAGAGGTGTGCACTAAACAAGTATGTGAGTACGAGTTCATGGTACGAGAAACGCGTAGTATGATGTATAGACCCGACATAGATCATGCTTATTTGGTCAAAGTTCATCAAGATGGGGCTCTCAGACTTCAAGAAACTCCTGACGGTTTTCACAGGTAAAATACTATCTGTACTGTGATTCGTATTAAATTTGTCAAGTTTATTGTGCAATACTCGACCAATACCGAAAAAAATATAGAAAAAAACTCGACCTCTATTAGTGTATAACTTATAACTTAATTAATTTGTGATATTTTTATGATCCTTTTGTACTTATGAAGATATTACGATTGTACATCTATTCGTGCTAATTCTCATCAAAACGCCTAACTATGTGATTTTTCATTAAAGTTGAATCGACTTTATGGCTTTAAAGTTAAGTACGACCTGAGAAAACCACGCTTTTCAAGCAAAGAAACGCATTTTTAACTACCCTGGTTGAAGAGGTATTTTCTGCCCTCCGTTAGGGTTTTAGATCGCCTATGCGGGTGCTTTTATCTTGGTAAAAACGAGATTGTTATATAAATTTATATAACATTCTTGCTCGTAAAGATAACCTTTTACTTATGACCTCTCACGTTTCGTATCTGTTTTAGCCTTTTCGGAATAAGGACTTAAATGTTATTGTAAAGTCAATCATGTTGTTATATGACGATATGTTAATTTAAGGATTCGATTATACACATGACTAATGTAGCATTGCGGCCTGTTAATGTCATTCAACAGTTACTACTAAGAAACGAGAAAGTTTAGGAATAGCCCCGTCCCCTCGCCCCAACCCTCCTCCCTCCTGAGAGCCGCTACGCAGCTAGTTTAGGATAGGCATACGTTTTTTGTTGGGGGAGGGGGGGGGGGTCACGTTTTTTCGTTTAGGAAGGGCTGGGATATTCGCGGTAAACTATTTTAAAATGGCTGTAACCCTCTCCCTTTCACTCAGTAAGATATTCATAACCCTCCTATTAAGATAACAAGGAAACAGCTTTCCTCAAATATAAGAAGGTTTGACCCTCTAAAAAATCTCATTTTTTACTGACGACTCTTCCCTTTAAAGCCCTCCCCCTCCCCTCCCCCTCCCCTCCCCCAATAGAAAAACGTGCATAACTTTTGCCGTCAAAAGTACAAGATTGTTAGGAGCAACGACATAAAGCTATTACTTCGACAAGTCTAAAAGCGAAGAGACTGGTGTCCATCATCTTGGTACAGTATTTATTTAATCGCGTACCCAGAGTCCTCCATGTCGTTAGCGCCTGGTAAGACTCTTGCCGGCGCCAGCCCGCTGACCAAGAACCCAAGATTGTGTATTTATTTTTCCATGTTTTCAGGTCAGTCCCTAACATCAGTGTCCCTCTAGATAAAGTCCATACCGTAGATGGATACAACAGGACTATCATTACTATCAATGACCAGTTTCCAGGTCCTACTATAGAAGTGATGGAAGGAGCTGAGGTGAGGACACGCAACCAGTGTTCACTCAAATGCTGATATTTTCTCTTACATTGTTTAGTAATTTATGATGAGCCACTTATCTTTGAATGTACGCAATTGTTTTTCCAGTTTCAGTCAGACCATATTTCATTCTCTTGAGTATTATCTTTTTTTATCTTGGAGAGTAATGTTTCCCCATTTCAGACCACATTTTATTTTCTCGAGTATCAATTCTTTCTTTACCTTTGGAAGTAGCGTTTTCCCATTTCAGACCACGTGCCATTCTCTTGAATGATACTTCTTTCTTTGCCAGGGGAAAGGCACTTGATCTGAAATGGGTAAAAGTACGCGTAAAGTAAAGATATCTATATAGCGTGTGCAACCATGTGACTCAAAATCCCTTTAGATATGAATAACAATGAAACAACCTCCATGTTGGTTGATAAAGAAGAAGCTAATGAGAAATGCTTTGTTATCGTCAACCAAGATGGCGCCTATGACGCAACATGCACCTGCTTTATTACGTTTTGAATTTCTCTGCAGGTCGTAGTGACGGTAGTGAACGAGTTACTAAAAGAAGGGCTGTCTATACACTGGCATGGAATTCACATGAGACAGAATCCCTGGATGGATGGCGTTCCCTTCGTTTCTCAGTGTCCTGTCCAGACAATGGTCAGTAAAATGAAAGACTTCTCTTCAGTATTCTCTTGGTGGACTAACTATTTGTCTATACTAACTTCGCTCTCTCTAGGTTCCTTCTTCTGAATCTTCCACAGGAATCCCAGAGAAAAAAGGCCGAAACTGAGAGCCTGGGGATGAGTCAAACAATGACGTAATACCAAGATGCATTCACTGTTTTTATTTCTATTCGTTGTATCTTTTCCAGCAAAGTTTCCAATACAGGTTCATAGCCGATCCACCTGGCACCCACTGGTACCATTCACACTTCGAGATGCAGAAAGCTGATGGACTGTTTGGCGCTCTCATTATACACCGGTAACCTTTTAAGAAAGCACCGAAGAAATCAGAATTTTTGTGTGAATTTGAACCAATGAGGTGTCGTGTTCTTTAAATGTTTTACAGATCCATTCCTAGTGTACCATATTTCGTCATGATGTTTTCTGATTGGTTCCTGAAGCACTCTACGGAGATAGAAATTTCTAGTCCGTTGAGAATAACACGAAAAGGATATGGCGACATGTTCTATGCTGATCAGAAGAGAAGTAAAGATTTCATTTATTCTCATTTTCATAAATTTTGATTCAATTAGTGAGTTAGTTGTTAGTCGTGACCTGACTTAAGCCCTGAGGTTGTTTCAGGGTTCGATCTGTAAAGGCCGGTTTAGACGGTACGATTTTCGCCTACAACTATCGCATCGGCAACACGCTCGCACCATCCTACAACTCGAGTCGTAGCGTGTAAATCAAGCCTACAACTCGCCTACGACAGACGCGAGCGTGTTGTATACGATCGTTGTAGGCGAAAATCGTACGGTCTAAACCGGCCTTAAGGTAGCCGTGTCCTGCCAAGGTTTTTTATAGGGTATCGATAACATTGGATGATTTTCTTTTCGTTGCTAGGTTACATGTTCGATGGGACACTAGAAGGACCAATCCACTACTGGTCAGGGTTGGTTAATGGAAAGGGCCGCCACGGTAACAAGGCTCCTTTAAGCATTTTTACAGTCAAGCCGGGCAAGAAATACGTCATTCACATGATCAATACTGGACTCGCCTACCCATACAGGTGAGTATTAGCCAAAGGAAGTTATGTACAGAGAACTGTAGGACTAGAGCGGTACGAAGAAGAGGAAGAAATTTGGTCACAGACTCCCTTACTTTCCTGGTTCGTTACCAGTCTTCCTCTGAATTTTTTTCCTAGGTTCTTTATACATCAACACCAGCTAACGGTAGTAGAGAGCGACGGTCACCGCGTCAAACCCGTACAAATCGACTCAGGCATCGTTTTCCCGGGCGAGTCCTACAATTTCGAATTCACAGCCAATCAGAATCCTGGCCGTTACTGGATAAAAGGTGTGAATATGAGGACTACAACGGTACTAGGTTCAGCTCCTGATGGAGAGGTCTGGGATGCGCTTGCTATCTTACAGTACGAGGGAGCGGAAAGCAACGATGATCCAACGACCGAGGAACGAAATTGTACGGCAGATAATCCGTGTAGGGTACTGAACTGTCCGTGGGACATCTACAGTAAGGTAATTTATATATGAATTTTGAGTTAACTTTCCATACCATTGATGATCGACAATAGTGAAAACCCGAATTTCGCATCAAATTAGTCCAAAACTGTTTTATCTCGTTCTCAGAGTCGTTAGTTGCTTACTGCACATGCACTGCGCATTAATCTTTTTCCGGAGCCTACGTTTCCGGCCCTACAGGCTTTTTTGGTGTACTTAATTCGAGACGCCATCTTGTTTATTTTCCCTAGTACTGTAATTTTTACTTCCGGTATCTTCCTTTGTTCTCGAGAACCAATCACAGCACAGGAAATATTGGAGTTTTCCAGAGCCCAATTATTTCGTCGAGCATGCGCAGTAAGAAATAAGGGCTCTGGGTACGAGATTGAATCGAAACGAGATTGAATCGAAACGAGATTGGCTTAAAATGTGGTTTTCAAACTTGCCTGTTGTTTAGAGAGTATCTAAAATTTTTAAGTGATTTTTTAAAAGTGAAGGAACGAAAATGTTTTTTTATTTGGAGAAAACGTTCGTGCTTAGATGCATGCATGCGAAAATGTTTTATGCTAGCGGCTTGCTGACCACTATTGAGCCTGCGATAGAGCTACAAGAATACTGATGTGTTGTATTTGTTTTTGTTTGTTTGTTTGTAGCTGTGGTACCCTAATCGTATTTGTATTCCTGTATCAAATCTCTCCCTCGACACCTCTTTCTACGAACCGGAAAAAATACCCAATACAAAAGATGACGACGTTCACGAGGTTTTCCTCAACTTTGGCTTCCCGATGGGCTCCGCGGTAAATAACAGACGAATGATCACCCCACGTGCTCCGCTCTTCCAAAGTCCATCCACGTGGGGTCTCACGAATTGTGCACGTGAGTGCGACGAGAAAGTATGCTGGTGTTCCCACGTGGTAGAACTGCCACCAAAGAAAACCATTCAAGTTGTTCTTATGGCATACAAAGGCGCCAAACTGGGTCACCCGGTACATATACATGGACATAGCTTCCAGGTAAAAACATTAGTGGTTGGTTTCCCTGTGGTAGTCTAGTGACAGATCACGTGATCATCAACTACAAGTGTGGCTTCCAACTTGAGTTCTGACTAGTAACTAATCCTCGCTCGGCCAAATTAACCAAAGCAAATTGTCACCAAGGGAAATGACAGATACTGCTTTCAGACTAATCACCAAAATTTATTGTGCAACGTGGCGGAAATCGATCACGTGATCTGATGGTTGCCTTAATTTAATCGTGTCAAAATATTTTCAACAATTTAAAAATTACTATTTACAATTACTGCAGATTCTCAAGATAGGTTACCCAGTCCAGAACCAAACTTCAGGCGAAATACTACGCGACAATCCTGACATCGTCTGCGAAAATGAATTTTGCACTAAACGTCACTGGTCAGCGGGGCACCCAAAAGACTTGAACTTTGACAACCCTCCTCTGAAAGATACCGTTATGGTTCCATCGTATGGATACGTGGTGGTGAGGTTCGTCAGTGATAACCCAGGTGAAAAAATGAAACATATCTTATAAGAGATTAGCTATGCGTGGTGAGGTAACGTGTGCTTGACCCTCAAATGGCTTTCTGTCAACTCTGGATCAATCAAAACGCGACTAAAATGCGGGCAATATGATCACTCTAACAAATCAAATTGCGAGATAATTATAATAACCAACCATTCAAAAAGCCTGGATTTTAAAACATTTCTTTAACTAAATGACTGACTCAAGTGGATATTTCATTTCAAAGATATCTCTCGCAGGCTCAAAAGAATGGCAAGTCACGTGACAAGCCATACTCAGGCGCATGCGCACCTAATGAAACAAGTGAAAATTCATGTATGTGTAAAAACAACTCAAGTAGAAACTTATCGTTACCTAGGTTACTGGTTTGTCCATTGTCACGTGGGCAATCACCAAGCCGAAGGCATGGCCTTAATGTTCAACGAATCGTTTGTACATCAACCACCAGCTCCAACCGGATTTCCTACCTGTCAAAAATTTGACTTGGACCAAACTAGTTTTCGTTCAATGTTGGAGAAAAACAAGAAGTGTTTGGACGACGAGTGTTCGCGTGTACAAGCGTTTGAAGACCCTGATAAGAAAGACAAACAAGCATGTCAGGTAAATAACGTTTCTTGCCGGAAAAGCAAGGCAAGTTCCCAGAGATCAGTACGTGTCCGCCTTGAGGTATCACAAATACTAAATATCATTTTTTTCTCGTTCGTAGGACACGTGGATTTACATCCTAATCACGTGCTGTGCTGTTGTCTGCGCTGTGCTGGCACTAGTCGTCAACGTCATCTTATGGTACTGTCTGACACGTCGGACACCAACAAAGACATCCAACGGAAATATCTTTCATCTTAATACAGAAGCGATGTAGCCAATCACAGAATAATCCCCTTGATTGATTTATTTTAATTGATTTATTTTAATGCATAATTTGATCTAAATCCAAATGTATGAGTTTTATGACATCTTCAGCAGCCAAAACACTATTACCACCATTTGCATTGTTACGCGGCCACCCCAGACAAAAACTTTGCAATAGACTGCCGTCAATCAAACACGTTGACGTCATTTACACGTGTTTGGATCGGCCCGGTAGGCCCGGCGAGTGTGGCTCATAATACTTGTAAACAATCGACAAGTTTTGGCGCCTCTTGAATCACACACGCGTGTAAATGATGTCAACGTGTTTGATTGACGGCAGTCTATTGCTAAATGCACGTCGCGATTTTTTGTCTGGGGTGGCCGAGTAGCAATACAAATGGCGGTAATGTATAATCAGAATTTTCCACTGTAACTATTTGAGCTATATACACCTATTTATATTTCGGAGATCTCAGATGCATGGGCGATCTGAGACTATACGGAATTTTTGTGCTTTTATGATTTCTGGCTAAAATACGAAAAATCCCATTCCTAACTCAAAAATCATGCATCGTATTCCAATCTTAAAGAAAAATAAATTGTTCCGCTGTGTTCATATCATTACAATTTGCAGCGTATTACTCGGTCTCGGAGTTCAGATACGAGATCTCCGCCGGACCGACAACTTCTTAAAAAATATACATTTGCTTTTGACATTTTGAAATAAAATGAACACACAAACGTTGAAGAATTTTAGTTTCCCGGAATTACAGCGTACTATAATTTCGCGCGTATGACTTGCGTCACTGGACTTCTTCGACGATGTGGCGGCTATCTTGAATCGCAAGGCATTATGGGTCGCTCAGGGGGCACCCTGGATCACCCACAATGCCTTGTGATTCAAGATGGCTGCCGCATCGTCAAAAGAGTCCCTTAATGCGGCTGCGTGTACGAGGTCGAGACACGGTCATTTAGTGGCAGTGATGTTATTACTGGTTAACGTGCAAACTAGCTTTGTGAATTATTCTTGGTGAGAAACGGAATGTTTTATACTGCTCGTGAAATTATAGACTCTTCCACAGTTTCTCGCTCGGCCGTTCCGTCTCCACGCTTAGAGACTGTAACGGTACAATGACCGAAAGGACTTATGGGTCCCGAAAACTTGGTGAACCAAAATACTCGTCCTCAGTCTCTCTCGTTCCATTGTCGGCGAAAATGAGAGAGACTGTGGACGAGTCAGTTTTGGTTCTCAAAGCACGGCGAGAAACGGCAGAACAGCCGAGCGAGAAACTGTGGGAGAGTCTACGTGAAACTATGGCGCGATTACACTGATCATTTAATTTTCTCAGTATTTTGTCTCACAATAGCGTTGCGACACAAGTTGCAAGAGTGCCACGGAGATTCAATCATTACCAAAAGTAGAATTTAGAAACGAAACCTAGGTACTGTTCTTGGCGACGATCGGTGCAACTTACCTCGCAACGTTTTTTCGCTGTAGGTTACAAGTTGCGATTGGTTCATGCAACTTGTGTCGCAACAAATTACAAAGAAAATTGCTCCGTGTTTAAATCGCGCCTTAAAAATGGCGAACTAGTTTTGTTAGAGTTTTTAACTGTGTGACATTAAAATTACATCGCATTTACAAAATAAAAGTCGTGGAATTTTGCTTTGTTTTATAAAGGATTCATGTATACAAAATTTGTAAAGAAAATCAATTTTCTAAATTAAATTTTACACGCCATTGATTGCTTGAATTACCCGAAGTGTTACTGTGGGAAAATGTTGGATTTTGACTAAAAGAATCCAGCTGGTTTTAAAATTTAATTTGGCATTTTTTGCGAGCTCGCTGTGGTTAATGATTCGTTAATTACAATCAGAATAAACGTCACTTCCGCTTGTCATTGTACCCGGCGCGAACATCACCATGGCAACTGTGTATGTGTAACTTCTTATGGCCGACACATGACTTGAGGCTTCTTACAATACCTCGTTTTTGCCTTCAAAATTTTCCTAATTTTTCACACCTAGGCCTGAATACTCTGTCAAAATGACAGAAGTAATGTATGGATTGATCTCTGAGGCCAAGAAGAATCGTTTTTCTTCGATTCCCAAGCTTACAGAAGAAGGTAATCGATGAGCGTTCGAATTGATGTCAAACTTGATCGTCTTTTGTTTTCAGACGTGACTTACTGATTTTACGGCTTTTTTTTTTTTACAGATGTTGTAAGCGTATGGGATAATGTGTCTCAGTATATCCAAAGACAAATGAGGCTGCAGAAGGTGAGATAACAATCACGATCGCAATCAAGATAATAATTCTAACTTTTCCATTGAGATCCTGTGCACGCGCACAAGTTACCAACAAAGTCTCTACATCTTCTCCTAACTCTCTGTATTTTTGTATTTTTAGGGAGTCACGATTCCCGGTCTTGGTATATTTRCATTCTCTCAAAGGAAACTCGATGTTGGAAATAACAAATATATATTAATTCAACGTCCAGTGTTCATTCTTTCTGAGAAGTTTGCCATGACACACGGGATGTCTAGCCCAAAACAATACACAACAGGTAGGGAAAGAGTACGTCGGTAGATAAACATAAATACTTGATTAGATTAGACCTCTGAATAGGAATTTTGTTCAATCCTCTTTTGTGTAATAAGAGATGAATCATTCAAGAGAGCTATGGTTGATATTCAGTTGAATAATGTTGCGTGGGTTTAAAAAAAATTGTTATCCAGAACCATCAGCTGCTTTATTATCACTTATTTATCGTTGCTAGTTAACACAGTCATGCAAGCACGCTAGAGCTGGTATTGTTCAAAATACTCTTGATATACAGTGCATGTTTTACCTCAACACTGAACTCTTATTATTAAAACTACATATATATAAGAAAGATTACGCCAAGAAAACCAATTTTGGCTCTTGTAAGGCGTAATAATTTCAGGGCTGAAAGCCAAGAAAAATTCTGGCTGTCTCCATTGACTACCGTTCAACAAAGTAAAAAGAAAAGTCYTTTAAAAGGCTTATAAGCGATAATGGTCGATAATATGTTGACATTATGTTAGTATAAATGATATATTGTGTTATTCAACAAAATATATTCACAACTTTCTTAGGGAGGGAGAGAAATGTCAATTCCAGTCCCCTCCATGGGGGAGGTATATAAGCTTATATATTTTCTGGAACAGCACAATACAGTCAACTCTCGCCTTGTGGACAACCCAATATTACGGACACCTTGCTATTTTGGACAGGAGAAAATTCACCGACAAAAAACATGACAAAGAAATKACCATAATTTGCGGACGCTCAGTATTACAGACACCAAATGACGGTCCCGAGGATGTCCGCTGTAATGAGAGTTGATTGTATACCCTTCTCTGAACCACCACCCCATAACAAGTCCAATCCATCCTACAAATGACATGTATGGACATTTTCTGATGATGAATATCTCTTTATCTATATGGTATAGTCCATCTCTTATTGGGGAGTGGGGTGGGCGGTTATAATGCCCTAATCGGCGACTCTAAAAACTCCAGTGTATTCTAGTTTCTGCTTTTGTTTACCAACCTCAAGAGTGAGCTAAGCTTGCATACACTGGAGTTTTAAGAGTCGTCATTAAACCCATACAAAAAATCTGTCCCCCTCTCTCTGTTGTTGCTAAAAAATGGCACCTCATTTCTTTTCCATTTAGTTTAATGTAAAATTCCTGTGTGACTCGAAAGTCTTTCCTGTGCCCCTCCCCCATCAATCTCATCAGATTCCCTCCCCGGTAAAAAATGATGACCTTTAATAATATTGCATTACTATTACCTCTTTTACGCAGGTCAAATACCAGTGGTCCAGTTGAATTTCACAGCATTGTCCAATGAAACACCTTTTGACAGAGACAATGTAGAAAGTTGTGTTAAAGAGGTCTTACAAGCACTTAGTAGATCCATCCAGGCAAAGAGAAATGTGGAATTCCATTTTTGTGGAATGGGAAGACTGTCTTTTAGAGATTCAAAAGTTAAAATGAAGTTCTATAAAGATTTTGTCAAGAGTATGGATGGATCTGACAATGTTGTACAAGCACTATGTAATGTAAGTGCTAAGTGACAATGTTGCAGACCCCCCTCCCCCCTCCCTCCCCTCACTCGTCTACTAAAATGCCTCCACGAGTAACAAAAAATTTTACAGTTAAATGTAAATTTACTTATAAAATATTACTAGAGTGGATGCAATTAAACCGTGAAATAAAATCAAACTAAATACTAACTAATAGTATCTATTTAGTGACAATAGTTGCTATCACTCAACCAGAATGTTTATTAAACAAAAGATTTGTCTTTGTATGATAAATGTTCTGGTTGAGTGATAGCAACTATTAGTCACTAAATAGATACTATTAGTTAGTATTTAGTTTGATTTTATTTCACGGTTTAATTGCATCCGATCTAACCAAATTCTCTCTATCAGTCCTTAATTTCTGCAAGCTGCATTTCTTGTTTATAAATATAAAATCTGTGATTACTAATTTTTCTAATCCTATTATCGACAGAGACCCGGTACAGCTGATTCTGTAATATCAGAAACATTCTTTACACCAAGACCTCACACTAGCAACACACTGATTTTACCAAGGTATTTATGAAGGCCATAAAACATGGTTGTTAGATGTTCAAATGTAGTTCCTATCAAAATCTTCCCATCACATCACCTATTTCTTCCCTTGGACAAATTTTCTGGAACATTCAGGCCCTCCCCACCCCATATAAATTTCATACCCCCTCTGTGGGGGAGGTATGTATATTTTCTGGAACTACACAACATACCCTCCCCAGACCCTCCCCACCCCTTGGAAAATCCAAAACAATTGCTGTGAAAAACAACAAATTTTGGAACCTCAAAAGCAACTTAACTGATAAAGTTTAACCTTCCCTCCAACTGATGGTTGTTATTTTCAAACCTCCATATCCATCCATATCGATCTAAAACTTAACATAAGCTTAAAATAATATTTCATACTAGGATTCAACCTGGGACAGGACTAGAGAATGCAGGCCAGAAACAAAGTGCTAAAGAACAAGGTATGGAAACGATTGCAGAAATAGAAGAGAAAAACGAAGAAGACGTACCTGATAAAGAAGAAAATGCAGGGGAGCCTTGTGCGAAAGAAGTCGTTAAAACTGTTGAAATCTTGATGGGAGAACCGCAGACACAGGAAGGTAAGAAAAAATATCATGTTGGGTACCCTGTGGAGAGCCTGCATTACTTTTGGTCGATAAACAGACGTGTTCTGATTGGATGATACAATAAGGGAAACAAAACGGGAGAAAAGAAAAGAATGGATGAAAAGGAAAAGAGAATATAAGGAAAAAGGAAAACTCCAAAGCCTAGTTTAGGGGAAAAAGGCTTTTTTTCCTAATAAATATATTTTTAAGTTTTATTACTTAAATTTCATTATTTCCAAAACGAACTTGTCTTTTCACAAACTTATTAATGTTTTTTTTAACTGAATGTTCGACGTAGCTTCAAAAATATACTATTTAATAATAACCACAGATCTAAAAAACCGTCTATCACTTTTACTTAAGCTTAAAAAAAGAATTAAAATTCTTAGAATTTCAGGACAAAATCTTTAATGAAAAATTTTCAAAAGACTCACGCAAATTTATTTGTATTTCAAAAATAACTAAAATGTCTTTAATATTTAATTTCGTGTGTATATATTATTTTTACGTCTTTTTTTTAGATAAGCAGCTTTTTTTCTGGTTAAAATTCGCTAATATAACCTTTTTTWAAAAATCCAAAGGAATAAGAAGTATTTTAAAGCGAAATCGTGTTTAAAATGAGTCAAGTTCGTGTGTTTTGCACTGTTATTTTTAACTTTGTACTGTTTCCAGCTCAAATCCTTATTGTGAAGTTTTTTGTCAGGAAGGAATACGAACTGCACCTCACCCGTTTCCCCTGCTGTTTGGCGAAAATTGAGAGCAAAACAAAGCCAAATTATTGGTTCCTACATTATTAGAACTCTTCAGGAACCGTGGAAAAATTGAAAACTCCAGACCTTATTTCAATACCAATTTAGTAATAGGAAAAGTGTACTAGACTAAACGGGTTGCTAAGAAATTGCTGCTAGCAAACAGGGCCTAGCAAACAGACCAACTACTTTTTTTACGAGCTTCAGGAATTTCTCTCAAATTCGAAGCAATTGAAGGCTTTGTGTTCAGCAGTTACAATGAGTGAAGTTAACACATTTTCTCGAGTATTGAATCTGTTGGAATACACGAATGGTGACTTTAAAACTCATATTATCAGAGACATTCATGGCGATATCGATCCTTACAAACTTCCAGAAAGTAAGTCTTTACTTATAGTGTATAATATCTGTAAATATCGTAACCTTTTACAGACTTCGTAGAAATCTTAYTGCATGTCGCAAAATATTTTCATTCACTACTTATTTCTCTTTTAATTTTGTAAATTTTCTCTAATAATTATTTTATGTTTGATATCATTTCCATGGTAACATTAATTATCAATCCTCGATTATTTTAAGTCAAAACGCAATAAACTACTACTGTTCTCACGGGAAAGCAACTATAATAAATAATGCAAACTTCGTTATGCGTAGAAAAATAATGAATACTTGTGATATGGGCTTTTACGCGTAAGACTTTGAACGGAAATCTAATTAGGTGATAACGACTTTAGAAGGCGATGAAGTCACACAAAGGCAAGCCTTGAAACTCTTTACCGAAGCTTAGTTGTCATTGACTACCACTGGAGCTCTTCGAGTACATTAGACACAGATTTTGAATCTTTCGAGGTCGTATTTTCATTGCTAATATGTCTTCAAGTTTCAAGCTTCCACCTATTTCACCAGACGAGGGACAGGCGGGGCGTACAAGACCAGCAAAGGCTGAGAGAGAGACCTTACCATCCATCTATACAACTACTACCATGAAACTTTCTTACCAAAACCCAACGCAGTATCCTGGCTCTGTTCTTAGAGCAATTGCTGCTTATTTTAAAAGTGAGATTAAGTTTAAAGAAGCTAAAGGTGGCTTTCTTAGGAATTTGTCTCCGAAGTTTCTCGAAATTTTGTACAATCCTCAAAATTCCTTGAAAAATTCCTCAAATTTGTTGACAAATCTTTATGTGCTATGTGAAGGCTTTAAATCTATTTTTGGTTTCGCATAGGGACCGCGTCCAAATAGTCTAAAGACAACCTGCGTATAAACTAGAGACTCTCAACGTTGTCATGAAACCAACTTTATATGATTGTATTTAAATTTATCTCATGTATTTTCTCTTTAAGTTCCTCAAAAGCCACCGACACGTCAATCCCAGTCATCAGCTTCTCGTATCAGGTCCCCTCTGCCCACAGCTAAGGCAACAGCAGTGAGTTATGGGGCCCCAGAACAACTGACTTCAGTCAAGACTCCACCAAGGAAAAAGWCTCCAGAGGCTTTGGATAATCAACGCCAAGAAACCACGCCTATGGAGAAAACGATAGAGACTGGGATAAAGTTGAGTGCAAATGATTTGTACGAGTTGCCTCGTAGTCAGAGCAAAGGACAGTTGTCGAAACCAGTCTCCCGTATGGAAAGCAGGTATGACTGAAACAGAACGTATATATTGTCTACAGTATTATGGGTTCCCTAAGTTCGGTGGTCGTTTCTTTTTACACATATTTAAGCAGTTGCAATAAGATGGGCTTTCAAGGTTGTTCAATGAAAATTTATAAAAATCCTTAGGAAAGCACGGGTGGCGAAGCGGTGAGAGCGCTTGCTTCTCATCAAGGTAACACAGTTTTGGTTTACCGCTCGGTGTCGTAGCATGCAAGTAGAGTTTCAAGCTGGTTCTCTCCTGTGCTAATTTTTAGTTGTGCTCTCCGAAAAAAATAAACCTCAAAATTCAAATTTGATCGTGGAATGAGGAACACAGAAAAACACTGCCTAAAGAGGCTTTATGCAATCACGTGACCACGCCCATAATACAGCTTGGGCTGCCTGTAGTTAGATGGCAGAACCGTAAAATCCCTTTGCCCTTGGGGATGGAATTCTTTTTCACGTAGAACGATTGTATTGTTCCTGCCATCCCACATGGCTGCCATCACGTGATGGTGCGAAACATCTATTGAGTGCTACCCTCGTAAAACGAGCAAACAAGGATAATTTATATTGCCGAAAATTCCGTATTTAAAAATGGTTTATGTTGTTCTTAGATGTTCTGTTCATGGAGCTCGCGGAGGACAAGAGCTTTGTTATCTTTGTCATCAACGAGCAGAGAAGAACGTACCTGTCTACATGCATGAAGAACGACGACGAAAAGAGCTTGAACAAGATAGATTGCTTCAGCAATATCAGCACCAAAAGGACTCAGAAGCTATTTATAATGAACAGGTACGAGTCGTTTTTCTATGCCAACAATACTTTTCTTTCATCTGTGCTTTATTTATTTGTTCCCTTTTTTTTTTCTTAATTAGACGAAGAATCTTGAAAAAAGTAAATATAATCAGAAGGTAGCTTCTTTCAACCTTGGAGTGGCTGAAGCAATCAAGGTTAGTAATCCAGCTATCCATCCATCCTTCTACTCATCCATTCCATCCTTCTACTCATGCATTCCATTTCATTCCATCCATCTGTTCGTCCGTCCGTCCGCCCGTCCATCTCATCATTCATGACATCCCATTTATTCATTCATTCATCCATCCCGTTCCATTCCATCAATCCCATTCAATTTATTTGCCCTGTTCATTTATTGTCCGTCCATCTTTCCATCCATTTATCTAATTCCATTCCATCCATTTGTTCATCTCATCCCATCCTTCCAACCAATTCATCCACCAGTATCTTCCTGCCATCCTGCTATAATATCTAAACCATTGTTGTCTATTTTCGTTTCGACCAGGATAAGAAAACAGCTCGACCACTTGAATTTTCCGTAAGTATTTCTCGATTACCTCTTACTCACCTCAGTAACTCAGTTCACGTTCATTCTACTCAGACACAGTTTTCACATATGCATTGCCCACCCGCCGCGACCATTCCTTAGAACCTTCAAATTTTATCGACGCCCTGAAACAACCTCTGGGCTGATCAAAGTCAGGTCACGGCTAACTCATAGATCAAACCCTGAAACAACGTCTGGGCTTATCTAAGTCAGGGCATGGCTAACTCACAGATCAAACCCTGAAACAACCTCTGGGCTGATCTAAGTCATGGCACGGCTAACTCACAGGTTGAACCCTGAAACAACCTCTGGGCTGATCTAAGTCAGGGC